CCAATGCTCTACAAATCAACAAGGTAACAATGATACTTGTTATTCTTCCTCTTCACTTCACTTCATCATTCAAACACCCGTCACACAGACACTCACCACACTCGACCTCAGCGGCATTGATATCGATACTGAAGGAGTACTAGATCTCGCCAATGCTCTACAAAGCAACAAAGTAAGAACAATACTTGTTCTTCTTCCTTTTCACTTCACTTCGCTTCATCATTCCAACACTTTTCTTACAGACACTCGTCACACTCAGCCTTCAGAGCAATAAAATCGATGATAAAGGAGCACAACATCTCGCAAATGCTTTACAAGTCAACAAAGTAACAACACTAGTTGTTTTTCTTTCTGTTCACTTCACTTCGTCATTCACACACTTTGCACACAGACACTCACCACACTCAACCTCGATTGGGATAAAATCGGTGATGAAGGAGCACAACATCTTGCCAATGCTCTACAAATCAATAAAGTAAGAACAATACTTGTTCTTCTTCTTTTTCACTTCACTTCACTTCATCATTCATACTCCTTTCACACAGACACTCGCCACACTCAACCTGCGAGAGAATCAAATCGGTGATCAAGGAGCACAGCATCTTGTCAATGCTCTTCAAATGAACAAAGTAACAACAATACTTGTGCCTCCTCTTAGCTTCATCATTTACACAGACACTCACAACACTCAACGTTGATAATAATGGAATCGATTGTGATGCACGTGAACTGCTTCAGAAATTATGCGAAAAAAATACTGAATTGAAAATAACTTATGGAACCTATTGCTAACATTGTTAATCACAGCCAAGACTGCTTTTGCTTTTTAATGCTCAATAGATTTCATATCGACTGAAGAAACCGATTTATATTTTTGAGCAAGACAAGGCTTTGTCTTCTCGTCGTAGCTAGTAGAGGATACAGGAATGTGAGGCTCGTTGAGTGTGTGGCAAAGAATCTTGGTCGATGGTGTGAGTTTTGTTGCTATGTTACTTGAATCGATGGTTATGGCTGGGTCCAATAGTGAATCCCTAACGGAAATAAATAGAGGAAAAATGCAGTTTATGAAATAGTTTGCATGTTTGTATCGTACGATTTCAGCAGAAAACGTATTTCTACATTGATAGACTGTTAGTAATCATATGTACATAATGAAGTATCTACTTCTAATTGCACCAGAAACTATTTGAGTTTGTTCGCTTGGTTTTATTTTGAAACACTAAGTAGATCTTAGTGAGACGAAAATGAATTTTAAAGCATGCGTGCTTGCAATATGTTAGTGCAAATTATCAGCGTATCAGTGACTGTTTGTTCGAAATAAAGAATTGTCGTAGCGTATTTGATATATCTAAGGATAGGTTAGCTATTAGAAGTTCTTAAACTTTGAGTGTCTATGTACTGATCCTATCGGACCGATTTTATTTTCTTGTAACTGAAGTGTCGTTTATTCTTGTTATTAAGAACGATATTTTCGTACTGCAAGATATTGGGAACCACATCGTCTCCTCAGTTGAGTTTTGTGGAGCTGTTGATCACCATCCGATTTATCCGTAAATAGATTTTATATGTAAACTTTTGATTTGAAATTTTTTTGTAAAGTATTATTCGAAGTACAAGCCTAGAAAATTTTCTAAAACGTTTCATGGATGCATATACAATAAGTACGAGAAAAAAGGAAGTTTTTTCCTGGAAGAAAGGTTGACTTAAACCTGAAAAAGAAGCCACGCAATTCGAAACTGCCGGCATACTTTCTTCATGAGAATTGTTGCTCAAATTCAGTAATCTAAAAGTATGATTTCAACTGATCTTTAGACTAAATTCAATTGTATATAAACATCGATAGAAATAATTGGTTGTTGATAAAGTAGAACTATGTTTCACATATTTTATACGATGTTATTTATGTTCACTTTTCTTATGAAATAGCAGTTTTGTTTTGTCGCAGAATAACAGGAAATGGAAAATAAGAAAATAGTTTCTTACTATTTCTGGTCATGTAACAAAAGATTTATCGAGGCACATCTAATTGCCTAATGATATTAACTCATTTTTTGATTTTCATCAATGAAAGAGTTAACACTGATCATACGTAAATGTTTTGTAAACTTTAGCTAGTAGGTATTTTTATTCGAATCTCAGATTCATAAGATGTTATTATTTTGTTGTTCTTTCGATACTTCATTTGTACTAACCTTGTCAATAATATGTCGATTCATGAAACATCTCAGCTGGTCGTATCTCAATAAAATCGTGAATGTCAAACAGGATTTTGTAATGATTTCCTTGTTATTACAAAAAAAGAATAAATGAATCAGGAAGCTAGATGTAGTCATGAGATGGTTATTACTGTTGTTGATTCGTAAATGTTACATTTTTAATCAAAGTTATTGTTATTGTTTTCAAATATATAATAGAAAAAAAAGTCTACGGATTACTTATACAGTTATATAAGATTCTAACTATGTCTATAACGAAATATTTTCATATAATTTCCTAATTACAATCGGTAGAAAATCATCATTGCAGCAGCAGGTGTCTAATAAATTTGACGGAGATTTTTTTTCATTCATTTTTATGTTAGAATTATTCAGAATCGCGTGATTTTTATAGTAGGTCTCTCATTAATGCTAATGTCAAATCTTTTCTTCTTTGTATTTATTTATCATGTAATAAACTATAAGAAGATAAGAATGTTATTAATATAATGGCAAATGAAGATATGATTTTACTAAGATATTCGAATGAAATAAATATTATACATTTGTTCGACATATTCTTTTCTTTTTGCTCCATGATTTCCTTGTAATTATTCCTGATGTATATAACTCAGACAATTATGTTGTCTATGCCATCACTTGATCTATTTGCTTCATTTACTATTAATCAAGATTTTTTATGCATATGAATCATACACATTTGATCAGTGATTCGAAAAATTTATTTCGAAATAACACATAGTTCTATGTCTTATGTTAATGACCGAAGGCAGTAAAAAGATATTATTCCGAAGATTTTTTTTCTATAGAAAAACATTAATAGACTATTTTCTTTTGATACGTCTGTGAATATATATCAAATTAATATAATCAGTCATCTTATATTTTCATCAAACCTCTTTCAAGTTACTTTAATAAGACATTTATCATCAAAAACAAAAAGATTATACATTGATCGTCCTGTCAAAATAACTTCTCATCATTCATAATCAATGACATAAATGACAAACTTATCGTCGTTCAACGATATAATCTTATCAATGTTTATAAAGATACTACGATCTCGATTGAAAGAAGAAACAAGGTCAACAGACAATGAATGTCATTGATGAGTTAAACGTGCCATTCATTGAATAAAATAACTACACTTGAATCTCATTTTTTAATCAGTAACAGTTCTTCGACGATTCTTTATATCGAGGTGCTTAACATTGATGCGCTTAATCGATTTCCGCTACGGCAAAATGTTAAGAATTATAATGCTTATGTTCTCTGATGCAAATCGACTTCCGTCGTGCGTGTCTTCATGATAGAAAATAACCCAATTTATTCACACGCATTTACAATTTTTCTTCTTCTTCTTCTTTATATATTATTTCTCGACCTTCGAATGACCAATGAATTTTTAAACATAACAATACCTAATAAATGTATGTATACTTATTGTTCACTCATATCTCTCTTAATGCCATCGAACTATCAACTTAATGTCTGTCAATTTAACATCCAATCTCTTCTTTCTCTCTTTTTATTATATATACGTGTGAGATTGTGTATATATAACCTTTTTTTGAACTATATGTGTACTTTGTATATTCATAAAATGGAAGTCTATTAATTGATAAGTGAACCCGGAAATCATCATTCAACAAAACAGTAACATTGACATGTAATAAAGATGAGTGCACTGTCAACGAAGCTAAACATACTCATTATGGTTTCACAATACACGCACGCATTCCTCTTATCTTTACTTAATGTATATATGGTACCACTTGGGAACACGAAAGCAAGAAAGAAAGAACACTCTAATGACTACAATTAGATATTCTTTCTTGAATACATATTTATATCTCAAATGTTCATATGCCGCAAGGGGAAGAAGAAAGAAATACACAAAAGTATTCATATGTAGGTGTAAGAAAAGAAAAAATTCTTTCATCTCATCGATTATCATTTAGATGTACTGAGGGCGTTTGAAATTTGAAACATACATATATAAAAAAAAGAAATAGATAGGTCTGTCTTAATCTGAATGATGAAGACAAGCAAATGGTCATTATTTTCTCATCCAATATTTTTATGTAATCTCATCAATACAACAACAGTCACTTGTCAGTCTCGTATGATACGCGATAGTTAATAGCACCCATTACGTTTAAAACAAGTTATCATTCATATATTTATATAGATACATATAGATATCTATTTCTACATTAAAAGAAATCTGATAGATGAAGAGAGACAAACGTTAAATTAATGGATTGTCGAATATAACGTTTAGGATGACCATGAATTACGTTAGCTTTCGTTGTCTCGTATTCACTAAATACAGCGATAAAATGATGGATGATTCTTTTTTTTCTCCTTCTTCTTCGTCTTCTTGTTGTCGTTCTCTTCTAATAAGTTTTTTTTTGTCTTTCTTATTTCTCTCGATCGTCTCTAATTAGGAATAAAGCGATGATTTGACTTTCGGTCTAGATCGTAGTTGTTATAGCTTTTTCTTCTGTTCTTCTTCTTCTTCTCTTAGTTTTTCCCATTCCATAAAGTTTATTTGTCTTATTAGGATCCCAGACACAAAGGAGAAAAGAGAGAAAGAGAGCACGTAAGAAGGACAATCAATATGCTGTCAGACGACCACTAATACTATCATACTCTTCTCTTGTTATTTTAACATCATAAGTAATGTTCATATTCATTTCAGTTCTAGTTTATAATTTACTGTTAATCAAATCTTATGGTATTACTTCTTAATATAATAGTGCTGATTTTTTATGATTGAAAATGACAATATCAATGATCCATAGTTTATTAATTACTCTGATCATTTATCAACAAGGTAAGAATATTAATTTATCATTTTTTTTTGTTTTATGAGAATATATATATGGATTCAACAGATTGTATTATTAACAAAGCAGCTGTAATTTACTGCATAAATTGATTAATATAATAGAATATAACAAGGTTATATGAACTAAAACATAATTCAAATGAGTTCTATGTTATGCTCGAATGCATCACTTTTTTTCTATTGATGACCTAACATTATTCATCACATATGTTATAAATTAGAATTTCCCAATGGATTAACTGCGTGTGAAGATAAAAATTATAAAATTTAAAATCAGAATTTTTTTTCTAGGTGTTGTGACTCATCAACATCCGACTGGACCAACTTTTATTTCGACAATAGTAACAAAACAGAAGCTTTATTACAGTAACTTAGGTACAAGACTTGATTGTTTAGCAACTGGTAATCCATTACCTAAATTAACTTGGTTTCGAACGAATAGTAGTGATATTCATCAATTGATATCTATTCAATCTTCTGATCTTATGTAAGATATTTTCTCTCGCAGAAATACAGTTAATCATTCTTCTAATATTATTTTAGTGATCTGTATGAAAATGGAAGTTTATTTATTCGACCATTTCGAGAATATTTTAAAACAATTCATTCTACATCATACATTTGTCGTGCTGAAAATTCAGCTGGTAGTATACAAACAATACCAATTCAAGTTAAACCACGTAAGACAAAAGAAAACATGTACAAATATTCTTCAATTTCATTGTAATTTGATCGAGTTTAGTATTTATATCATGGAGACAATCATATGTCTGATCCTAATAGAGAAGCTATTTGTAAGCCTAGACTGACACATACAGCTAATAAATTGTTCTAGAGTAGATTATCTTCTTTTCATCACTCAGCGGAAATTAAGATGAACGCAAGTATGTGAAGAAAAATAACATCTTGACAAATACTAATGAACGAGCATATGTTTATATGATTATCACTTGTGTAAATTCTTCAACTGTGATAGACTCTATGCATTAGTGTTATTTGATAAAAACATTTTTTATGTGCTGAGAAAGAAAAACATAAGATTAGTAGTATACATGTTGCCAGTAATTATTTCAATTTTTTATAGAAATTTATGATGCATATGAAATTGAAGTTAAAAATCCATATGGATTTGAACAATCATCTGCTATAATATCATGTGAAATATCTCCACCATTAGCTAATCTCTATGTACATATTATTGGTTGGTTAGAAAAAATAAATAATGATATTTTTCATCTTGATTTAAGTAAGTTTATAAAGAAATATAGAATATAGATAGATGAAATTTTGAATTTTATCTAGAACCAAAAACAAAATATAATTTATTATCAAATAAAAATTTAATTATTCACAATTTAACAAAATCAGATGATAATCGAAGTTATGCTTGTCTTGTTAATAATCAAATAGATAATAATACAAGACAAAGTCGATTTAAATCATTACGTATTCGAGGTAAAATAAAACATACATATAAACACATATATATATAAATATGTATAGATCGTTCACCATTTGGACCGGAATTATCTATTCCAAATAATACAGAATATCAAGCACAAATTGGTGATATAATTGAATTACCTTGTGGTATATCATCATTATCTCCAAATGCTCATATTTCTTGGTGGAAAGATGGTATTGAAATTTCTAATCGCAAACAAAATATCTATAATAATTCTTTAATAATTCAACTTTCAACACCATTATCAAATGAGTCAGGTAATTATATTTGTCATGTTGATGATGAATCAATCGGAAGAATGACGTCAATGATTTCACTTAAAGTTAATGGTAACTTGTTTAATACTTATAATTGTTTATAAGACTATTTTCATTAACTTAGTTCCAACTCAATGTCATATGAATTTCTCTGAAAGAAATATTAATGCAGGATCAACTATAGAATTCATTTGCACAATTAATTCAATAAAGAATACATCTGTTCAATGGCAATGGTATCATAATTCTGTTCTATTATCAAGTAAATTAGATCAATATGTGATTTCTAATGTAACACGAGAACATATGGGAATGTATCAATGTTGTTTTATATCAAATTCATTAGATTTAAATAGTTGTTGTGCTCAAACTCAAATTCGAATTATTAGTAAGTTATTTCGAAAAAAAACTAAATAATTGATTAATAGATCAATTTAGATTCACCTCCATTTATTTTTCTTGATCAACAAACACAATCAAATAGTATTATTATTTTATCCGAAAATAAATCTCGTCTACCAATTGATCTTAATTGTACTGTTTATGGTGATCCAATACCAGAAATAAATCTTTTTAAAGATGGACAAAAATTATTAATTAATAATTCAATTGAATATTTATCATCTGGTGATATTTTTCTTCATTATCCATTTTATATATCAAATATAAGTGATACAGGTCTTTATGAATGTCGTGCGAAAAATTCTTTCGGTTCAATTTCATTAACAAAACATATTAATATTAATAAGCAAAAACCTTTTATTCAACCATTAACAAATTTAACTGTTCGAACTGGTCAACAATTTACTGTGCCTTGTTATGCATCTGGTCAACCGAATTTATATCTACAATGGATTGATAAAACACATAATCAAATAATTAATACATCAACAATATCTCCAATATTATTTACAGCGATAAATACAAATTCAAATATGTATGTATGTCAAGCAATAAATTCATATGGACAAACGTTTCTGGAAATATTTACAACCGTTCAAATACCTGCTAAAATATTATCAATAACAACGAATTTAACTATAAAAATAAATGAATATTTAAATATTTTTTGTTATGCTGAAGGTGATAATGAATTGGAGTTAAAATTAATAAATCCTTCGGCAAAAAAATTAAATACAATTGTAACTACATATGAAAATAAGAAGAATTTATCGATAATTATTAATAATATTCAAATGTCTGATAGTGGTTTATATGAATGTTATGTTAAAAATAATTATTCAGAAGATCGATCAATATTTAAAATAATTGTACAAAATATACCAGATAAAATCGATCAAATAGCTTTCGATAACTCGGAAAGAATTTCATGGATGAAACCATTCGATGGAAATTCAAAAATTATAAATTATGTACTTAGAATTCAATATAAACAAGGTATAGATTGAATATTTTTTTATTTTTTTATCATTTTTTGTTTTTTAATATAAATTTAGATTTATTATGGTCAAATGAAACAATTGTAACGATTGATAATGATGATACAACTACTTATTCATTTGAAAATATTTATTCCATATGTAGTATTTCGGTAATAATACAAGCAGTGAATAAGATTGGTTCGTCATTACCTAGTCAACCATTTTATTTTCAAACAAATATTAAACGTAAATAATTTATTCGGACATTTGATTATTTGTAATTATTTTAATTTAGGGCTACATATTGCTCCGTATGATCTCAAAGCTGTTAATATTTCTTCGAAGAGTGCTGTGTTAACATGGCAAGTATGTAATCTTTCGTCTCTAGTTGAACGATGATGATTAAAAAGATTTTTTGATTTTTAGTATCCATCATTTCATATATGTAATGATTCATATATTGAATTTATTAATGAAATCACTGATCAATACAATCAAACTCATATTCAAACTCATAGTTATCATTCAACGACGATTACTATTCATCAATTAAAAAGTTTTACTTATTATACATTTATGGTCTATGCAATAAATGATTTAGGACCAAGTCCAATATCAGATCCACTGAAAATACAAACATTAGAAAGCGGTAAATTATCTTCGCTTTCAAAACAAAACGAACCATTAATAATAATTATTTCTCATTTCAGTACCGCTTGCTATAATCAGAGATTTAACAGGAAGTTTATTAAATAGTTCAACTGCATATATAACATGGATGTTTGAACAAGATGATTTTCAATATTTGAATGGAAAATTTCGAACATTTGCTATAACAATCTATGAAAATTTCAGTAAGATATTAAAGAAAAGATTTTCGAAAAAAAATTCATTTTTTTGTCTTTTCAGATATGTCAACATTAAGAACAATTGAAACAACTAGCACGGAATATTTTTTTGATAATCTAAATTCATCATCGCAATATCATATATTAGTAGCAATTTGTAATTTTCTTGACTGTGGTTCATCATCATTAGCAACTGATATTAATACACCATCATCAAGTATGTGAATAGATCATATCTGAAATCGAGATTTATAGAATTTTATTCTGCGTAAAAAATATAAACAATTTTTTTTATCAAAGGTTCTGATGCAATAACAATCATACATCCAATTAATAAACCACTCGGAATTGACTGTTCGCTATCATCTAACAATTCGATTTCAATATCACATCCACTATTATCTAAATCAGAAAGTCAATATAAATGTGGATCAAAACTATACAATATTCGATATTATAGTATATCAAATATATTTTTTGTACATTCATAATTTCGAAATTATTCTAGATAAACCTTCATTTGTTCGAGCAACACTTCATTATACACTATCGAATGAAATTGGTTTAAAGATTTCCTATCCATCAGAAATAATCGAAAGTATAACAATATCATATAAAATTCAAGATACTTTATTAATCAATGAATTAAATATATTTCCACCATTATTAAATGTTCGTTTAACTAATTTATCTTGTGGAAGTTTTTATGAAATAATGATTTATGGTAGTAATCAAGCTGGATTTAGTTTAACAGATTATTTAATAGCAAGAACAGACGGTTCAGGTATAAGATTAACAATATGTCTTTTTTAATAATAATTCAAAATTTTTAGTTCCAGCGTTAATCGAATCATCAGATTTAGTTCAAACTGTTTCAAATAATTATATTATACTTAATATGGCAAATTGGATTATTAATGAATGTTCTATTCTATCATATGAAATAGAATTATTAACTAGTAAAACTAATCTTAGTCGATATTTTTCATATAAAAATGATCTCAATGAATTAAAAATTGATAATCTTCAATCCAATGAGGATTATCAGTTAAATATTAAAGTAAATAGTCAAGCTGGAGAAAATATGGAGATAATTTCATTTCGAACAACAAATGAAAAAACTTCAATAAAATCAAGAATGGAACAATTTTTTATACTTATTATTTGTTTATTATTAATATTTATTTTAATTTCATTTATTGTAAAATTTTCTCGGCGAAATTTAAGAAAAACAGGTAAAATATAGAAATAATAATACATTATGATTTTCTATTGATTATGTAGATTTATTCATTAATCAAAAACGAAAGCTAAAACCTGTTTTATGTACTTCCAATTCAACTAATTTTCGTAAGACTTGGTCAAAAACAGATAAAGATTTTACTATTGAAAATTATGTAGATAGAAGTCGTTCTAATAGTTTTGTATCAGGTAATTTAAATTTAATAAAAATTTCTTTTTTCGTTAAATCCTTTATTTCTGTAGAAGATTCTCAAGGTAATATAAATCCATATGCAGTTACTGGCTATGCAATGAATTGTAAAGATGAAACTAATCTTGAATCAATTTATAGTGAAACTAAACATCAACAAAGTCAATTAAATACTACAGGTATGATGTTTACAATTTAAAAAGTTAGATCTACTATATCTATACAACTTATAAACAATAAAAGAACCTTCGTAGGTTCTGGACTTGATGATCTGTAATGATATTATCTCTACATGATATTAATTACTATAACTAATTTTCAACAGACGTTCTTATGTTTTCTCTATAAGATGAGTATCTCATATAGATAACAATATACAGAATACGAACGAAAAATAAATACATGGTTATTAAATAAAAGATTGTTCCCTATGCTATCCAATAGGATTTTTTATCGTAGTACTTATTCTGAATTTATCTCTATTATTTTTATATAGATACTTGTCCATCAAGTGCACATACTGAACGATATTTTCGTCCAATTATTCTTGAAAATTCGTTATCTAACGAACAAGATCTATTAAAACGAAATCCACTTATACAAATACCTGATAAATCTTTATTACCAAATGTTCATTATACAATATCGCCATCACATACAGAACTATTTTCTGCGTTTACCTATGTTTCATCATCATCATCAAAACCTAAAACAAAAAAATCTTCTCATAATGATCAAAGTTCATCATCAGCTGATTCCGGTGTACATTCATCTGATACTCAAAGTCCACGATATCATCTACATAATTTCACATTTGATCATTCAATATTAACAAATCAAAATGATCCTCTCTATGTTACATATGATGAAACAACTACGGAATCATCTAGACATCAACATTATTCATTAGTTTAAAAATATTTACAGTCAATGCTAAACAGTGCAATAAAGTGTATTTTTCAAAAAATGCAAATAATAAAAATAAACAAAAAAAGAATATTTGGATAACAAGATATTGAATTATTCAATGATGCTATTGTAGTTGTTAATACAGTTGCTGTTGTTGTTGTTGTTGTTCTAGATCGAGTACGATTAGATTTGACTATTCATAACAAGAAAAAAGGAATAATAAGATAGAAAAATTATGAATATCAAATTATTTACTAGATTTAGATTTATTGGATAGAGATGCAGTGGGTAATCGTATTGTCGTTGATTTCGATTCAAATTGAATAAAGTCTAAAAGAAAATTTGAATAGAAAAACAAGAATGTCTCTATTTACCGGAAATATTAATTAATTTCTCTATGATTCCAATTGAATTATTACTTTGACAATAATAATTTACTTTGGAATTTTCTGCTAAAGATATTAAAAATGATAATATCGATGATTGATTTTCATATTTAATAGTATATAAGCGGTGATCAGCGATTTCTTGTCGATTATCATCAAACCAAATAATTGAAGGTGGTGGATTAGCAATGGATAAACATTCAATAAAAACTTCTATATTTTTTGAACCTATTAACGTTCGAACATTTGTTTTTATCGTAGGAGGATCTATTAATTATAATCAAAATTTATTAATTCTAACGAAAAGAAAAACGGTAAATTCTACTTCGATCGAAAAGTAAAAATAAGGATTCGGATGGTTGTCAGTGTGAGAAACGAGTAGTACAGCATACTTCTTAACACATGACAGTAGTCGACTTAGGGGGGGATCACCCCCATCGCCCCCCCCCTCCCCAGGTATTGCCCCCGCCCCTTCCAAAATCCTAGACCCGCCACTGTAACATGATCATACATAACCAACAATGATTGACCTTTAGTTGATAAAATAATATTAAAATTACCTAGATCTTTATTTACTATTGTTTCAAATGACAATCGGTTTATGATAGAAAGGTCATGAAGTACATTTTATATTTTTACTTTTTCGATCAAAGTAGAGTAAGCTATTATTTAACTTACAAAGTACATCGATATTAAATACTTTTGATATTCGAGAAGATTTTTTATTATCAGCAATACATTCGATTAGTGTTGGATTATCTCTTGTAAAATTAATCCAATTCATTTCACAAGTTTTATCTAAACAATCTGCACCATCACCTACTAAAATAAGAATTGAAAATAAACTTAATTTTCTCTAGTGTTTATTTTACTTACATACAATATGTTTATCATTATTTGTTCGATAGAACCATGTAATTGACGGTTGAGGTCGACCATGAGTTGAACAAGAAAGTTGAAGATTTGAACCTTCAATAATACTTCGTTGTTGAATAAAATTTTGGTCATCAGTAAATTGTGGTGGAACTAGATATATTTTAAATTAAAAAAACAAATAAAATTTAGTGAAAATAATTATTCGTGTTATTTACTAATTATAAAAAGATCATATTCAGCAAATATAGTTCGATGTTTTGAACAAATATATCTTCCTTCATCATCAATAGTTGGATGTAAAATCGTTAGTGTTAAAAAATAGGTATCAACATATGTTCCATTTGTAGTCATACTTGAACTAAGACGATGTTGTTCAAGTTCAATACGATCTGGTGCATAAACAACATTATCTCGATAAGTTAAAACATCAGGATTATAAGGTGGTCGAATACGCATCCACATAGCCTATACAAAAAAAATAACGGATATTTATTAAAATAAGATTTTTTGAAAAAAGAACTTCTTCAGCATCTTGTTTTGATGTTAATGTACATTCAAGTCGAACACGTTCATCTTGTTGAACATTAAGTGTATGAACTTGACCAATATCAGCTGTTACTGTGGCAAAATAAATACTAATAAAAAAATACCACCAATCCATTCATTAAAACAAAAATGGATGACGATTGTAAAAAATAGTTCGTTAAAAAATAATTAGTTACTCATGTTATCATCTAATTATATAATGAAGAATAAGAATAGACAAAAAAAATGTAACATAAATTCAATTAATAAAAAGTGTGTCGCATTCCAGATAAAATACAAATGTGTGTGCTGCAAGACGATGAGAAGAAATATGCCCTTCTTATGACAATATAGTTCTTCTTTACTATTCTACTAACGTGCGTAACAATCATTCATATTCACTCATATTGTATTAGTCTACTCATTTTATTGTCTTCATCACAGAATTCTATGTTTGTATATATATATATATATGAACCAATGCTGAACTCAATAAAAACGACAACTGTTCGTCTTCTTTCTTCTTATACCTCAAAACATAGACTTATTCTCTTCTTTAATTTAATCGAAGAACAAGAATATTATATTATCATTGTTGTTCATTATTTGTTGATAATTTACTCACAGATCAACTGTCTCAATACATGTCACTTGAGATAATTTTAATAAAAATACACAAGAGAAACATTTAAACAATGTCTAATGACACTAAAACTATAATAAAGAGTGGGTGTAATCATCAATGATTGATAATCATAGAAGACAAGCGAATGTGTTAAATGATTAAAGAAAAATATATCTATCTATATCTATATATCTACATATTCGGAAAGATGATTTAATAAAAAGAACCTTCGATCAGTCATTGGTGCGATACTGATTTGTTTTGGGAATTCTATTCAAATCAAGTTTGGAAAAAGAACATACAGAGAGAGAAAGAGAGAGAGAAAAAAAAGATTGTATGCAAAGATTTTTATCATCGGTATCTTTGTTTCTTCTATGCACCGTTTATTAGAACGATCTTAAAAGAAATACATGTAAATGATATACTTTGATAATTATTACTGATTGAAGTCATATATATATATATATATATCCGTAGAAAGAAAAAGAAGATACATCGGCTTTTTTGTTGATTTAATAAAATATAACTATATAAGTATGATAATCGAAACAAGAATTCAATTAAAAAATCTGAATTGTGTTCGAGGCCTAGAAGATGATGATCATTTCACGTAGATAGTAGTATTATCAATAAATATAAGATAATAAGGTTTGCACTATATAGCTTCTTCTTTTTAAGTCTTATCTTTTTTATTGGATTGTAATATATGAATTCGATAATAAACAAATCTTTCAAAGACCAATATTTTTTTCGATAAAAGAAAAAAAGAAGAAGAACTAATTGAATAATCAATCAATCAATCAAACATCTATCATATTCTTTCCTATAGATCCTAGTAAACAATTTAATTTATTTAATAAATAAACAAAAGAAAAATTTAGATTAAACACTATCATAATAAAGAATAAATAAGCATGTACACAACGAATATCTGAGCAAAACAACAAAGAATTCTAATTGATCTCTAATCAAGAATTTTTCATAATAAAGCAATTGGATGATTTCTTTTTTTAATTCTAAATAGAAGATAAATTCAAACGATAAAGCAAAAAGATAGTTTTTCTACATACAATTTGCTGTTTTTATAGTTATACTACTGGCTTTCTAAATAGAAAAAAGAAAGAATAAAAATTCAATAGGAAAAGAAATATTTTCTTACTGTTGATTTAACTTGTGCAATACAAACAATACTTGGTTGAGCTGGATAATGTAACACATGACTTGATGCACTATGAACAACAGCACTAGAATTAAGAAATAATAATGAATTAAGAAAGAATAAAGAAACAAATTGTAAACCGATTGAATGGAGAGGAACAGCGTCGTCGACGTGTTTGTTGTCGAGATGAATATGATGAAATACTAATTCGCATTGGTTGAGATGATGTTCTTTATAAATAAATAAAAATACAAAAAATGAAAATTTATTTGATTTATTTTACTTAATATTTTCATAGGGAATAATTTTTAGTTGATTATCATCTAAACCACCAGATTCTACTAGATCGAATCTATTTGAGAAAAAAAAAAATAAGATTTAGTTATTTGAAAAATAATATGGATACTTGATTGCATCGAGAAGTTCAGATGGTAATTGTTTTCGAGGAGATTTACTTCGTCTTAAAAGAAAATTTCAATTTATTAATTTCAATTATGTGATAATTAACTAACTTTCGACGACGTATAACTGATTTCTTTTGTTGGGAAGTATCAAGTTCATCACCTGTTGTTGTTTCATATGATGTATTCATTTTTGTTACGAAATTATTTACATTTGGTGAACTTCTAATATACATACATAATGTTATATCTATTATTTTTGTTTATTTTTCGATTTACTTTGCACGTTTATTTTCATGAAATTGTAATTCATCGATTGATCTATGACAATAAAGATCAGAAAAACAAATGTTTCTAGTATATACACAGTAATCTTACCCACGTTTCACTTGATTTAATCGAAGAAATTTACGTTGTTCAGTTTCACTATCATTAGCAAATGTACTAAAATATATAAAATAAATAAACAATAAAATTAGGAAAATAATCATTGATTTACACTGATCGTCGTTTAGATGTATCGTGACGATTATCAGAGCGAACAACTTTATCAATCGATTCTAATGATGATTGATTTGTTGAAGTACTATAATTAATAAATAAGATATATATTGGTTTAAATGAATTTTATGAAAGCTGAGTAAATCTTTCGGGATCATAGCACAAGGATTGTACTACCTATTGTCTCGTTGGAGGAAATATTCTATGTACCCTTTGTATATATCCGTCTCATACATTCACTTTTCTTTCTATAACTGTACAATGACGCCATAGTTTCGTTTTTGATCGGAGATTACGAAGATAGGTTCATCGTAGCACAATGTAAGCGCACATAAAATACTCTACTAAGGCACTGATTTTTGCATAACAGACGAGGAAAATTGTTCTTTTGAACTGTATGAAGTTTTCACGGAGACGTTTCGAATCGGATCTCTATGATTATATTGAATGAAGTTTTTTTCATTTTCATATTAATAGTTATCGTACTATTCGAACTTTTCAGAGTATCTTAACAGTAATTTTTGTAATAATCAGATTATGATTGTATTGCTTCTAATATATAATTTGCGAGAGTTAGATCCGAGCTTAATCTTATGAGCTTTGTTTAGTAGTTTGATTAAATGACGTGATCAGAATTTGATCAGCGAGACAAGTAAGATTCACTAGTCAGATTCTAGGACTCATAAGCCAATTCGGTTTTCCTGTTATCTATGGTTTGAGATATAATATATTTTGTTGAGCTTGTTAATCACATACGATAAGTACAACGAAAAGATCACGTAATATAAAAATTAAATTACTTACTGTTTTTTTATATTTGATACGATTTCCGTCTTTGTATTTGATTTAGTTCTTTCTTTTTGTGATCTTAAATACAACAAAAATATTTTACGTAATATTGTAAAACTAAAATTGTTTTTATTCTTACTTGATACTCATTGTCGAACCATTATTATTATTCGACGATAAATCTATTTCAAATAAGTTTTTATGTTATAATAATAATAAATCTAAACATACCACGTTTAAGAAAATATCGTTTAACATATTTCTTTTTTGAATTTTCATCTCGTGATTCTTTTTCAACAGTTAAACAACCACAGAACTTCATCTATAAAACATTAATAAATAAAATTTTGTCCAACACAAAGAAAATAAAACAAAATCGGATAATATAATTATGTATTACAACATGAAAAACATAATAAATTATTTCTTATTTGCATATAAAAAAAAACTATTTGTTCAAAAGCGTTCACAAGTATTTAATAATCGAATAATATTTGATGACATGCTTGGAATTTTGAGGGTCTAAATTGTATTTTAAATAATAAATCAATATAAAACAAAGAAGATTGTTTTTCTTACTGTTTTTACTGATAAAGATCGATGCCACATGGTTTAGTTTCAAAAATATCATAGATTATTCTTTCAAAATTTGGAACTATTTTTCTAATGCTTGACAGGTAATTAGATTGTATCTAAAAATATTCAAGTATGGATGTTTTCTATTTTTATTTAAACTTGTTACTAAAGATAGTCGAATTTAATCAGATCGAATATAGTTTATAAAAGTATGCGACAGTTCTCCATAATATCTGACAGAGTATCGCAGTATGTTCAACAGAACTATGATAAAGATTAATAATGTTCTTGGCATGTCAAAGAAATGAGTATGTCGGAAGTGTTCAGAATTCATGAAAAACGAGCTTTCGACGAATAAGGAGATTTATGAACCTGTTGACTTCTGAGACAGTAAACAAACAAATTCTTAGGAACAAAGATCTTCCCTTGTCCAACAATCTATGAGTTGTATCTAAAATTTTCTAATCCAGATTTGAAGATAGTTATGCTAAAGCTAGTGCGTTACGATCAATAGTTTTATCGAATGTAGCTGTTATCTTACACGAATAATTATATTATCCAAAGAAGTAATTAAATATCGACCATCAGAAGGCATTTTTAGTCCATTTATTGTGTCATTATTTTCTTTATAATTCAATATAAAACCTTATTGTCTTGGATTATATCGCTTGAAAAGAAAAATAGATAATATAAATTATGATAAATCAAGCTTAACAATACCATGAAGAACATTGATAGCATTTATTTGACATTTTGACTATAAAAAATAAACGATTCATTGTTTTTCAACAATATGATTGAAGATGAATGATCAGATCTTTTCTTATAAGAGAAATTATTGTTTTCGCTAAGATATGTATGGAGATAGAGAAAGAAAAAAGAATCAGTTACTGCTTACGTTCACCGTCCGATCATCTGTATAGAATTTAATCGAATGAGTAAGAATTCGATGATGTCATATTTTATAGTATGTCACCAGATGTCGAGAGATATCAATATAAATATTTTTGTCGTGAAAAGGATTTTGAATATTATATATAATGTAATTCTCATTCTAAGTGCTATTTGACAGAAATCTGTCAGACAAAATTTTCTCATATTTTATTATTACACGATAAATACATAATTAGTTTAATGCCTTCTTAGTTTCAAATATAAAATCAAAATATATTATAATTGATTTATTCTTAAGATGAAAATAACTGATAACAAATATATTTTTATTAATATACATAAAATTTTTAAACATTTTTACGCTCATACACTTGAAATTGATATGTCCATCCATTTTCTTCGATTATTTTATCATCGTATTCAGCAAGTAATTCATCCTTTGGTCGTTTTATTCGTTGAAAATTATGTAAATCAAATTTTGATACTTGAGTATCACATTCAAGAACTTTGGCAAAAATTCTTGTTAAATAGATTCGTTTGACGTAGTCTCTTTCTAATGCTTGTTCATATGGAATTACACCACCAAACACATAAACAGATTCAATCATAGAATCCGGTGTATCAATTAATTCTTTTGCTCGATAAGCAGCTTCATCAATAGAATTTACAACATCTGTTTGATTTTGATTAATATTTGAATATTTTTCATAAAATATTTCTGGTAATTCTTGAGTAAGAACAATAAAATGCCATCGAGGAACATATTTTTTAAAGAACGCAATAGTATCTATGAATGTCTTACGTCCTAAAATGAGTGCAATACGTTTTAATGGATCTTTTGTAGTAGTTGAATGTGTTAAAAACCAATAATGATCGGTTGGTAATGGTGCCCAGGGAATCTTTCCATTATGTCCTATTGTATTGTTTTCATCCATAGCAACAACAATACTCATAAATGGTTTTATATCCATCTACAAAAAAAAATAGCTGAAAATCTGATTATATTATTTAAAAAATAAATCAGTGATTTAATTTAGTCTACAATAAACATCTATCTACCATGAGTTACAATCATGCCGTATCGTCTCGATCTATTGTATGACGAAAGAATGATTTTATTGTATTCCACATTTTTGTTCTTTCTATATCTCGTGTCAACTGAATCAATAAAGTAGTGAGTCAAAAGAATCAAGCTAACAAATAAAATGAGTATCCTTGAATGTCAATGACGTATAAAAGAATGATAATAATAAAAAGAAAAAAACCGCATACTCCATGTAATATTTTATTCTAAACAAAATATAGTATATAAATATTATTTGTTTTTGTTTTTTTTAATTCATTATATTTAAAATATTGTAATATTCAATATGAAAATCAGATTATTATACTCAAGAGTAAACTTATCCATGAAAGTTATATCTTCAATTAAGCAGATAATATTGCTGTATCTAACAGATAAATACTAACGAAATATATATACATATGTGTATTATTATTTACATTAAACCAATAAAATTTCTTGTTCTTCTCGTCTATATAGTTGACTGATATCATATGATTTCTACAATGCACTATAACCATTATTCAAATTCCATTCTTGTTCCCTCGATGAATAATCATCATTCTGTTTCGTCTATCTATATATTTTACTTACTATTGAAATTTTCTTCATACATTATTTTCTTACAACAATCAAAATTAATTTATTCTTATAGTTAATACATATTAAAAATGTTACTTAATTTTATTTTACTTTTTACAATTGTAATTATAACTATTCAAGGAAGAATTCATACAACAAGAATTGAAAAAGATGCAGGTCTTTGGACAAGATTATACAAAGAATATACAGATCTACTACCATATTCAATAGTTCGTGGACAAATGACAATAAAATGTGATATTATGTTGGAATGTTGTCGTGGAGAACGTGATCGTTTTTTTGATCTTATTCATGAATATAAATTTGAAGAAATATGTATTGGTCATCCAACTTCAACAGTATATGGTTCACATTCTAAAAAATGTCTTCATTTAATTGAAGAATTACATGATATAGAAAAAAGTTCTGAATATATTAAATTTACTAAAATTATTGCCGATAATCCAAAACGAGAAGAACGATTTCAAAAATGGCGATCACAAATGGCAAAAGTATGTTCAACTTATGAACGTGAAGCATATTATTGTGAAACGAAGAATACAATTCAATTTAATTTATGTCAACGAAAAGTTTTACGTTCAATTGCTGATGAAAATGATGAAGAATTTTATAATAATTATGTTCGCGAAATGGAAAGTGATTATCGTGCTTATATTCAACAATTTTCAGAAGCTTTTCATCACCTTTAATCTTAATTTTTTTATTAATAAATAATAATTTACATAATGATAACTTATTATCACCATAGATAGAAAATTATCATAGCTACGTTTCTTTTCCTGTGTATCAAATTATTTAGAACAGCCAAATCAGTTTTGTCATAATGTTCTGAAAAACTCTTTCCGGAAATTGACTTATTTATAGACTAAAGATTTTGTTCCGTACTGTATGCATATAGACAGACATAGAAGATTATTATGTTCGATAAAAGTTAAGTCATTCATGCATATCATATATAGACACTTATTTGATACATTAATATAAACTCTCTCATACATCATATACTAACTTCAGATAATCTATTCAATTAATATAAATTATTCATGACGTTTTTTTATGTATGTAATTTATCAAACAGACAATATCCGTGCTAACTTCATTTTTATCAAGGAAAAGATGCGTGTTATAATAACGATTGTATTTTATCTTTATTTCAATTTATTTTAATACTCAAATCTATTTTTAGCTTATTATGATATGATTTTTCATTAATATAAACGTTATAGAAATATGTGCTACGTCCTCGAGTTTATTCTGCGATAATATTACTATGATAGTTGATAGCAGCATGTATAGAGACTTGTCTTATTACATAAAAAATACCGTCTGTTAATATAACTTAATGATTCATTTTATTAATAAGAAAAATGACACATTTCAATCATGACAGAGAAATAAATTATTAAAATAACAATGAATCAATTCAAATTATAATTCGACTTAAATTGAAGTTCAAAAGATCATTTCATATTTTTTTTTTCCGGAGAAATACTTTGTAGTATATATAAATTTCTCTTTTTTCATCACTCAATACTGATTACTATCATGATTGCCTTATAACCTTTTGTGTTCTACAAACGCAATATCAATGTTTTTTTTCCTACTGAAGAAGCATCTATATATATACAAAAGGGATTCAGAAGCGAAGAGAAAGAAACAAGTTATTCTGCCTAGAATGATAATTCCCGATTCTGCTCATCTATAGTCTACCCTATCATTTTTAGATGGAGAGAGAGGGAAGAAAAATAATATCCAACAGGAACTGTATAGTATATTGATGATAGAATAAGCCTTGTATTCTCGCTTGTTCGTTCGGCCTCATCTCAACATCGGAAATGGTATTTATTTGTGTGCCGGTATATCGTAATATATATATATAAGAATATATACATCTGGTACCAAAAACAGAGAGCATTGCACTTTCTTCTCTTCTTTTCTATCCAAAGAAAATACGTCTATGTATATGATGTATATCTCAATGGAACATAAAACAAGGATGGGAAAAAAAGATCGTTAGTATGTATTGTATATAACGCGTTCGATGATCAATCGATCGAAGTGTTGAGTGATTTTTTAATAGTAACGAAAATTCGAAAATATATAAATAATATTCAAGTAAGATTTGATTGAATGACAGCCAGTAGAACGATAAAGAACTTTATATATTGACAATATTTTTTGTTATT